AGTGGTTCTCATAGGGGGTAAAATTATCCATTTTGGGTAATTTAGAGATGTCAAGAGGTAATGACCTACCCATTTTGGGTAAGGTAGGGGTCGGGAAATTAGTATTTCGTGCAGTTGTTATGTTATGATAGAATGCCATTGTGATGGTGTTTTTTAACTCTGGTATGTAAAATTAGTTGATGGCAACACCTTTCATTTTCCTATTTTCTGAGTATCATTAGCTCATCCGGATCTAACCGGGTTTTCATTTGTTTTAACAGGGTTTTCATTCTTTTTCTTGCTATTATAATCGCTCTCATAACTTTTATCACCAAAAGTGTTCTCTTGTGCTAATTTCTCATTCATTTCACTCAACAATCAAAGTCAAATTCTCATTCTATCAAATACACTCTATAATTGATCATTTGACTGTCGAATGTTGTNCAGCAATAATATTCGATTGCTGTATCGTTGATTTCGGCTGTCAACACTCGTCAACGTATTCAGTAAATAGTATATGCGACTGAACGAGAAATTGATTCTAACTGTGGAATGAAATGAGACGAAGTGAATGAGAAAAACATATTAAGAGAACGGTATTCGCATGTATTAGCTATGAGAGTGAATACAACACGTCTGAAAAGAATGAGAATCCATCTAAATCAGTTTGAAGTGAGCGTGTCATGGACAATAGCTTTTCATGCAATCAGAAAACTAATTTCTTTCACGCCGCTGAGAAATTTCCGAACCGGTTTTCCGTTTGTTCCTGACGTTATACGTTGAAACAGTAAGTTCTTATATCGGTGGGGGAGGGGGAAGGAGGGGGAGGTCGGTAACGACGGCCTGCCAGATCATTTTAAGGGGTAATGGAACAGTCGAACGTGAGAACCACTACCATTATGTAACAATATGAAATGCTCGCTCCCATCTTCGATGTTCACGTAAAATGCACGACAACTCTGCTAGTCGACATTTTTTTGGGTTTTTCGGATAGCGTTGTTGTATTACAGCTAATGCAAAGAGTATATGCAGAGGTGGCTGAGGTGCTCAGTTGCGAACATCCATCTGTCCATAACACTGAACTGAACGTGTTCTATCTTCTAGAGAACAGCAGATGAACTTTCCTACCTTAATTGACATTTCAGCAATTCAGTTGATCACGATGAATATTACCCAAAATTTTTTCACTAAAACAGTTGAAGAAGAAATTTTAAAGAGCCGGTCTCATTGATGAAGTAACCTCATTTCCTCATTTAAAACTTTCACGTTCATTGAAAAATGGTAGTTTCAATTTATGCGAGACATCCTTTAAAGAGAACCGTTTAAAGAGAACCTTTTAATGTTTTGACCAATCATCTGTGACAGTTTATGAGATACGATATCATGAAATTTTGAAATGCCAGAAAATAGGTAGTGGCTCAAGCCAGTGAAATGAAGTTGTTAATGTACAGTAAGAATTTTATGACAGAAAAAATTTGTATTCGACATGAAATAATTTGGTGTACATGATTGATGCTGCTCTACAAAGTTGAACGACGATGCTGGCAAATCGAGAGGTAAATGCAAAGTGATTATTGCTTAACACTGCATTGTTTTATTCGTCTTATTTGACAAAAAGCACAAGCAGAGACTGCATCCAACGAAACCCGTCTTGAACAGGTGATATTTGTGGTTGCCGTTTGCAATTCTAACACATTCATGAATATCAGTGATTTATTCACAAATTATGCTCAACGTATTGAATCTCAACACAGCTAATGAAAAGTGCAATTTTTCGCACAAGAGTGCAAACGAAACAACTTCCGGGTCTTTCAAATGAATGCTTTTGAATTTTTGATGCCTACTATTGTTTAGCATAGGCAACAGCCGAACAACAGTTATCTATCTATTCAAGAAGTCGTCAACCCAATCATCATAGCCCGAATACAATGTACGAATGGCTGAATTGCGATGTAGTGATGATCGATGTGCATATTCGAATCATACAAACCAAAGTTTGAGACGATTTTTGGGAAATACGCCTATCAACCGTATTTGAGTGAAGGTGTTTTGTACTTCAACGATGTTTTCTGTCCTAATGATGGTGTGACGTTGACGACTGCTTCAATAACTAGTTGGATAAATAGCTATTGTGTACGGTTGACGGTCGTGTGCTAAACAAAAATAGACATGAAGCATTCATGTGTGCACTGAACTCGATGAAGTTTGGTTTTTTTTGTGCTATGCAGGTTTTTGACGTTTGTAAACGATAGAGTATTGATTGAGTAATATAGATCAGTTGTCGGTTGCTTCAAGTCGGCTGCAGATCTGCTAAACAATAACTTTCACATTCATTGAATTCTAAGCCGTCATGAGTGTGACTGACGCAAATGCTACTTGAAATATATGCTGAAAAGATTGCTGCCGTGACGTCATTCCACCAACCAAAAAGCTTCATCTTACGTCAGCACTGCCTTCGAAGCCCGTCATGCGACTTAAGCTATTCGACGGCTTTGGATTATGTGAACTACTACGCTAAAATTAATTTTGAAAACTCTCATCTGTATGCACCGAGTATCGTCATGAAATTTTCATTAATAGCTAAATCTTACAAATACGGTTTCAAAATTTCGCAACTGAGCATATTTGTAGTTCAAATCAGATCTTTTTGTGCTGTAATAACATGAAATAGTGACTCATCACCGTATTCATGAACACAAATCTAATGAACTAATTTCGTTCATCAGTAATTCATGATGTTAAAGTATCATATGTTTCACACCAATGATTTATAAATTCATCGAAAAGGTACAACAGTACTTGTCACTGATGAAAGCCATCAACCAGCGATGAATTATTCTGATTTGCAACGGTTCTTGATTGGTGATCCACTGCTGATGACTCTAATGAATACATTCGAGCACAGGCCAATGATGAAGTTATTATGAGGAATAACTCGTTATAGGAGTTATATAAATGGATATAAGATATGAAGGATAGGATCATTTCTAACAGTTTTCAATACTGATCTTATCTTGTTGAGCGAAACTTTTTTGCCTATACAGCGAAAGAGCCGACCCAATGAAACGAACTGTATTAAACTGTGTACATGTGATAACGTGTCAAATCATCAATAATAAATACTTTTTTGAAAATAATCTTCGAAAATAGTTGAACGCAACTTCGTGTCACGATATGATTTGTTTGTGCCATCACCATTCCAAAAATAATTTCAGCAGCGATATGCACCACATGCCAAATTGGCTCCACAGTGTATCGATAACAAAAAATGTTTGGCAACAATTTCACACACACAAACAGCTGGAAGCGGAATGCGGTTTTTTTGTTCAACATTATGCACAGAGCTTGAATCATAAACGAAAAATTTCAACATCGTTTGTTGACGTCTGAAATTGATGTGATGAAACAAACAAACAGCACATCAAAAAGCAAACGATCTGAATTTCGAGACCATAATGAAATATGAACGCTCGTAAATAGTTGCGACGATGTGTTTGCTTTAAATCAAATACATTCAAGATGTCCGACGAGAATTTCACTTTCATCGAGTCAGTTGAACAGCAAAGAGCGTTGAGAACGACTTCTTAGTGTTCGGAAGTAATATTTCAAAGCATTTAATTCTCAGTAACAAAATGGGAATTGCTGGAGAATGATGAAGTTTCACGTTCGACTGCGATAACAAATGACGCTCAACTGCCATGTTTCATGCTCGTTACGAGAATAGCAAATTTATTATTTTAGGATCTGAATTTGATCACTAAGAACAAATGTATGACAACATCAAAAAACTTGATTCGAAATGAAATTAATTGATACTGATCATCACTCGTAAGCATTTCAGTTTATATGTGCTTTTCATTGATGAGATGTTTATTACCTCTCGCTAAGTCGACCCAATCAAAAATGTTGTGTTCACTGTTCCAAGAAGAATTCGAAATATTGCGAGACAATGGCAAAATGCGATGTAGGCTCACTCTGCAACTACAAATGTCCTTCCTTTAATCAGTACTCTTTTCATCACTTTCACTCGAATTGCCACGAAAAAGAGCAACAAATATAAGCTGTTGAAACAGATGAGGGACAACAAATGGCTTCAATAGCTATCAACGATTGTAGCTGATATTGTATGCACTCCCGGATAACCAATCACATGACTTCTTTGAAAAGTTGACTTGACTGAACGAAGAATATTTCTTGAAACTGTTATGAGCAGATTTAGTTAAAAATAATGATATGAGCAGATGAAAAACATTCGTGAACTGATCAGTGCATGTGACGGACGGTTTCAGTGGCTGAGCGATCATCATTTGTGTGCTAGACGGCAGAACTATTGCATTATACCACTCTATCACTGTTTGTGAACAGCACTGAATTTTATGTGTAAGTTTTGCGGCTCTGTTCGCGACCATTTATTTCTGGTAATACAAATATAGGGTGTTCATAGGCTACGCTCGTAGCACTCAGATAGCAGCCTCCTTTTTTTGTGACTAAATCACGTACAAATTAAAATCAATAGTGATTCCTTGTTTTGACGAAGCTTGTTGGTGTGTTCAACATTGTTGAACGTTTCATAGCTGGAACGATGAGTGCGAATGCACTCAAAACGATAGTGAAATAGATTTGAATTGAATTGAATTGAATTGGTTGTATGATGTGCATAATGACAAAATCAGTAACGAGGTGAACTCATAAAGATGTGATAAGGTAGCTATAGTTGATCGAAATCTTATTTCTATTCAGTTGCTAGCAGTATTCATATAAGCAACGCTGTCGCTTACAGCAAGCGTGCGTGAATTGGAGGAGTGGCTATGACGCGAGCTGAGCCAATTTACGTCATTTGGGGAAATGAGCACACCAGAGCACTGCTCTCGAGGCAGCAGTTGAGGGGATGTGCTGCTGAACAGAGTACAGACAGGGCTGTCGATTAGCCCTACCGCATCCCATCGATATATTCGTGTGCTTCCTCCTCATTCCACATCCATCCATCCATCCATTTTAGCGCCGTACGTCTCCTTCACCTAATGACCCCTTCACCCCCCTCAAGAAAGGAGCCATCTGCAATGAAGCCACCCAAAGGACTTGTTAGGGTAGGCTTTTATGAGGTCGAATCCACTATTGGCAGAGGCAACTACGCGCTCGTCAAATTGGCCCGGCATCGTATCACTAAAACAGAGGTAGCCATCATCCTTTTCTATCTCTCACTTTTTCTATTCACTGTCAGCGATTCAAAAATATCGTTCACTTACAATACTCTCCACTATCCTTCAGTCGTTTCGCATTCCGTCATCACTTTCGCTCCACACCAAGAACAGTGCGAACAATCGGCGTGCAAAATCAACAAATCAAGTGTTTACTTCTAGTTCAATCATAATAACATTATAATTTCATTATCAGCTGAATTGGCTGAGATATTTATTTGTCAATGCTCTAGTAGTCATATGAATGCACTCAAAAATAATACACATCGCAGAATTGCCAGTTTTATTAGCCGACGACGGGATGGCGAATGTGAGTGTTGTGCTTCTTACATGTGTGAGTGAGTGCATGTATGCTCGAAAGTATATCTGTATAGAAAAGCATTCGTTATGAATCAATATACGTATTATGCACATGGTTGTCATCTTCGTAAATGACGTTCTGCTGCTCTTACTTGTACTGCCGTTTTGAGTGTAAACCAAAGTGGCACCTTGAAACGCAGACAGTCAAATGAAGTAAGTACATGATGAGTGATAGGCATACTGATAATTTGCAGAGCAATCTACTCAACTAATCGTTGCCGGCTATTCAAGTACAATAAGCTAACAAACTGAAATTGTGTGCAAAACTATTATTCTCCGAAAAAATACTTTTAAGCAGTGATCAATACAATATGATTGTTGATTGCAGGTGGCTATCAAAATCGTTGACAAGACCCGTTTAGACAGAGAAAACCTCGCAAAAATGTACAGAGAAATCGATGTGCTTAAAATGCTCAATCATCCAAATATTATAAAGCTTTATCAGGTTCAACTTTCATTGGAATTTCCTATTGTCGTTCTTCGAGGCAATTAATTAAGTTACACCCAAATTTTTTAATTGCATTCCTCAGCACTGACGTCAGCGATTGACACATTCAAGGAAACCTGTTATTGCCATATTTCACAGCTTGACAACATCGCGTTCATTCAGATGTGTAATACTTTCCACACTTCCAGGTTATGGAAACCAAAAATATGCTTTACCTTGTCACCGAATACGCGCCTAATGGCGAAATTTTTGGTAATCTTTTCACGATATTTATTTGACCTATCGTCAATCATATTCTATGAGATGTACCCCAAAAAACACATGGAATTGGGAGTATGAGGATGATGAACTGATATGTTTGGGAAAGTTTTTTGCTTGTATCTTCGTTAAAATATTCATATCAGTTGCACTCCGTGCATATGCAATTCTTTCTCGGTTTGTTCCGAGAGTCATTTCCTCGATATTTGTTTAGCGATACAACCCAAACAAAACTTTCATAACTATTTCTATGCACAGATTTAATTGCCAAACAACGGCGACTGTCCGAGGAGAGTGCGCGCGAGAAGTTTTGGCAAATAATATCTGCTGTTGAATATTGTCATAAGCTCAATATTGTTCACCGAGATCTCAAGGTGGGTGGTGTACATTTTTGATTTAGTCACAAGTGTGCAATCGAATTTCTTGAATTTCAACATTGTCTGTGTTGGTAGTTGATTCCAATGCAGACGAACATTCACTGATGAAAATTCACGCATCGAAATGCGAGGAGACACTTTCCGCTCCTCGTACGATTGCTTGATTATGGTGTTGTTTTTCAATGTGAAATCGGTTTTCGCATTTACTTCAGGCTGAAAACTTATTGCTGGATGCGAATTTGAACATCAAGATAGCTGATTTTGGCTTCAGCAATTTTTACAATAGGCACGATACGTTGAACACATTTTGTGGCTCACCTCCGTATGCTGCTCCGGAGGTGTTCGAAGGGAAACGATACGCTGGTCCAGAGATCGACATTTGGGTACGTCAGATGAGTTTGGTTGTCGCTGTCAAACTTAATAATATGACTGTTGTGATTGTGCAATTGGAATCCTGCTACTTTCATGTTTTCTCATTTGTGCTATTCGCTTATGCAGAGAGCGAAAAGAGGAAACGATCAAATTATCATAGTTAACGCGCGATTCGATTTTTGACAGAAAAAGTATGTTTGTTTTGTACGATATTGGTATGATGAGCATCATTTTTATTAGTAGATGCTTATCGCGCATATAATTTGCTGGTCTTTTTGAGAGTTAAGTGCATAAACAATTTGGAATGAGAAGCGGTTTTTTGAGTTGCTCGATAATCAGTGTTTTTAGAGTCTTGGCGTGGTTCTTTATGTGCTGATTTGTGGTGTATTACCGTTTGAAGGTGGCAATTTGCAAGTGTTGAGAGATCGTGTTCTCAGTGGCCGATTCAGAGTTCCATATTTCATGTCGAGTGGTCAGTTGTTGTATAATTCATTTGCGTCTTCATAACTTTATGGCAAACTTTATCTATATGGCAATACCCAGAAGAGTTTGGAAATGAGTTGCACAATCTCACGCTTGAGAAACAAAAGGCTGCATATTGAGTGATATTATTTTGTGGACCGGTGAAATTTTCTGCGAAAAGAATGCATTTTTTAACAGATTGTGAAAATTTGATTCGAAGAATGTTGACATTGGATCCAGCCAAACGCGCGACAATTGAAATCATCAAAAAGCATAAATGGATGCAAACAGCTGAAAATAACTCAAGAAGAACGCAAGATTTAACACCAAAATTCGATGCAAATGAACCACAGCAACAGATTCTCAAATTGATGCATAGTCTTGGGATTGATTCAAACAAAACACGCCAGGTACGCGATCCATTACCATTCTGTCTCTGAACTTGAAATAGATGAATCTGAAATGTTGATTGAAATGGCAGTACTCGATTGATACTTTTTCGAGTTATCAATGGAGTTGAGATGCGTGAAAGTGAGTGAATGAATTGCATTTCAGTCGCTGAAGAATGATTCATACGACAACTTCATGGCCATTTACTTATTGCTGTTCGATCGGTGGCGTTCAACATCGGCCTGTATAGATCCACGTGGTGTTCAACGTCGGCAAAGTGAAATGCCACGCTCTAGACCAGCATTGCATTCTTTACGTGAGCACGCCACATTTCAAACAACTGACTGTGCAAGTACGACCACTGCAGCTTTTGTTCGTAGTGATCTCGACGAGACACCTTCAGTGGGTGTTGCTGCACTAAGTCGGCAGTCAACCATGAACACGATCGCATCGATTGATGAAGGCGTTGAAGTGGACTTGAATTCATCCACGACGTCCTCACACAATGCGTTCAGTTCGGCTGACATGCTCTCCAATGAGTCGACGGACTCTTGTTCCACTGCGTCACCATTCGAATCGTTCGACTCACAGATTGAATCCGATATCATGTCCAGTATGTCATCATGTCCACCTGCTAGCGAGGGCAGCAACAATAGTTCGGGTCAGTCGAACATTCAGTCATTTGTCGTTCAGTGCTTACACAAACTTGTTCCTTCACCTCTTTTTAAGCAATGAAAATTATGAATTTCGTTAGAATAGACCTACATAAATATCCGTCAAAATACACAATGAATATTCGGAGGTTCCAAATATAAGTAGCCCTTCAACTAAGTGGAATACTTAAAATAATTCCGAGAGGAAAGAAGACTATTGTGGAATAGGTGATTAAGAATCACTCAGATATTGCATAAAACATTTTAAAAAGTATCGATTGTCCGATGCAAATCGAACTGTTACTTAAAAAATGTAAATGGTAAGATAAAGTGTTTGTGGTTTGATACCAAAAATAATATCATCTAATGAACAGTATCAGTTATGTTCTGGATTATTAAATGGTGCTGATGTTATCCTCGCTTCCTCATGAAACCTTAATGAACTTAAGTGAATGTATGCTTTGGTGACTAAACTTTTTGTGAAGAATCGATTCTGTTTGAGAACGACACTGAACGAAAAGTGTACGTTGCTGCGTTTATAAGTTTTGATGAATGCTGCCTGCTTTTTGTGTGCGACATTCAGTGACATAAATACGAGTTTTTGACGTCATTTGCTGATAATGAACGATTTATTTGCTCATGACGAGCCAAATTATGATTGAAGCAATGACGTAAATCAAACGGTTGTGTCCAAGCGACAAGTTATTGAGTTGCACGATATATTGTGATGAATTTGTATGAAATTTATTGACTTTTTATGCTGCTAGTTGTCACCTATTTACACATTCATACAATTCTAGTGAAGCAACACTGTCGTTCATTGTCTCGTGCAACATTTTGCGGTTTTCATTCGCTGATTCTTTTTCAGTCAGAACATTCAAAAATGTGCTGTCGTTATTGTAACTACCATAATAATCAGCGGATGTCCAACTGCTTCGAGTATTTCATGCAAAAAGTAATGCATTACAATGACATATTCCTCCATTATATTCAGCATCTCAGCTTTGACGCTTTGATAGCTCGCCTCAAGTTCAGTGTTAAAATTCAACAATTGAGAACAATTCGTTTGATCATTGCTATATTGAGTTTGATACTAGCACTGTAAGCAGCCTGCCAAACAATAGCTTTGAATTTGCTGCATTGGTTTAGTTCACTGATTCGATAAAGGTGCATTCATTCGAGGTATCAAACTTAAACACTCGATGAGGTGTTTTAAGTTCTATGATATTCTTCATTAATCAGTAGTCGCCATCCGAAGGGAATAAACGATGCATATTTCGTTGCATCCATACGTGATCATCAAATACGTTTTAGGCGCATGCGGTTTCAACACATCAATCGTGGTAAATATTCGAAGTCCAGCTAGTCCAGCCGCGTCTGAAGGCAGTCCTTGTGCAAGTCCTCAACCGAGCACATTTGGCGAGGGCTGGCGGGCCAGTGACAACTCAATGTTCGACAGTGTGCAAGCACCTTTTCCAACTGGTCAACTGAGCAAGAAGACCAAAGGAATGCACGAAATTTTCAGGTTTTCAACTTTACTTAATGCGCGGTTTTGTGTAGCATCAAACTGATCATTGATTCATATTCCCTTTGTATGTTTATATTAATTACATTGATCAACGAGTTTTTAAATGCTGTGTGCTTCGTAGATAAGACAAGTTAATTCTTATGCAGTTTCATGTCTTTAATCCAAATATCAGCTTAGAAGTGGCTGTAGTTGTGAAGATACACGAAACATGTAATGTATGGATGTTTTATAAAGAAATCTTTCAGTTTAGCGTCGCTGAGTGGGAAGAATTTTCAAATATCAATTAGTCTTTATTCAATGATTAAAAAAATTAATAGTATGCACATGAATTGCTTGCTTATCAAATTGTTATTATCCATTTGTATAGTAAAATCACAATTCACCACAAATAGTACAGCCACCTCCAGTGACCAGTGGGTTAGTGATAAAGGGCAGTGAGACTGTGTGTGTTGTGAGAAACACCATACGGTGGGTGGCAAGCCTGCTGGAATCTGTTCTGACATGTACGTGTATCTTGAAAACTAGTGCTATGAAGCAATTCTAACCACAATATTTATTGTAGGGTGATCTAAAAAATTATTACTCTGATCTCGGAAACAGACAAATGTTGCAGAGTGAAACATTTTTCTTAAAATAAGCTGTTTTTCGTTGTCTTTTTTATTTGCTAACATTATCTCAGCAATTCAATCGTCTCTAGTAATGCTGTTTTTCAAAAATGATGACTGCCAGTTGAGAATCATCATTTCAGACCGTCAACTGGTAATGTTGATGTGCAGTTGCAAAAGATGCGTATAACACCAGCAAAAGTGGTATTGGATAAACGACGTTGTATTTTGAGCGCAGCTCCGAAAAGGATCTCACTGCCTGAACACCTGGAATTTCAGCCACAAAAATTGTTGAACATTAAACAGAGTATGCATGTTGAGAAACAACTTAACACCGCACCAGATGTGATTCCGTCTGACACAAAAAGTGTTTTCAAGGCACGCCTCAAGCAGAAACAGATAAAAACTCGCATGCAACTACTACGTCAACAGGTACATTAGTTGACGACATCAATTCTGATAGAAATAATAGTTTTCATTCGATTGTGTGAATATGCAGTTGATCGAATGCCATTTCGTTTTTCATTTCAATGAAGAAGGTTTGCAGCTAGAAAAATGGAGCAAAAATGTTACAGAAAGTTGATTGTGCATTATTACAGAGTTATCAAATGGCACAAAAGCACAGCGTAATGCCGTCAACAGTTTCTCCATTACTCTCCGATGAATCTCCTTGTACACCACTTTCACCGATCGAGGATCTGCGTTCTTTTGACGACGACTCGATGGATATCAATTAGACATCAGAACGTTGTTTGAATTCTTTCGGAAGCGTCTCTTATGCACTTTTCTTCATTTGCGCATATTTTATTGATTATATTTCGGGTATTTTCGGTCTACAGTCACATCCACAAAGTACTATTTGAATATGGTCAAATGTGACCTCATCATAAGGTAACTGAAATGCATTCGAGAATACTCGAATGATTGTTTTCGAAAACACTTTCATATACGTCTGTCAGTTAGCAGTTATCAAGACCAAAGATTGGGTTTAAAAATTGCCATGCGTTGAATATTTTTGAAACGCTTCCGTTGGTTTTACACACACCGTTAACGGGTCATTCTATAATATAATTCTATTCTATAACAATTCTATTGTTTTTTGTAAGTACACATTTCATGTATATAGTTGTAAATTCAATGGATTATTGTGCAATCGCGATATTTTTGCTGGCATTGTATTGTATCGTTTCAAGAGCATTGCTCTCATACACATATACTGCAAGACATCCATCATAAGATCGTTGCTTATTATCATTCAACGCAGTATTTCAACGAAGAACCACGACCTACTCAGATTAAACAGAACAGAGTATTGCATAGAACAGTTTCATCGAGGGTTTTTAATTCATTCACTAAATTTATGGTTTTACGATTCATTAGTTATATTCGTTGGCGGCTTTATGATATACATTCGGGGTTGGAAGGTATGAATAGCGGGTATTTGTTGTTGAAGTCGCAAAATGACGTGAAATGCTTCCCAAAGTTGTACTACGATGATTTTTTAACAAATAAGGTAAGTTGATCGTGTTTTGGATGGGAACATTTAGTATTTGTGGAACGTTAATTGTTAGTAATGCGCATTTCGGGTGTTGTTTTATTTATATTCATATTTACAGAGTTGATCGTTTGATGATGAATCAATTGTTTTACTGATGTTGCTGTTGCATTCAACTGCGATATCACATGATAGTACGCCATTGATGACTGTACCCATTCAGATCATCTCTGGCAAGGATAGAAATTGTTATGAATTGATCCTCCTCACGGACAAGCCAACTCTTAGATTAAAATAAACTGAAAACAACAAAAATGTCCGTTGTCATTTGTTTCTGGCTTTAGAAGTTCAGTACTTTGTAAATTTTGATTCACATTCTTTCCAAATGTATGAATAACGATCGGACGGCAAACATCTATGATTAACTTATCAAATCAAATCAAATTCATTCGTTTTTGAACTTAAAAATTCAATATTCTCAAAAAAGGGCTATTCACTTTATCGCAAGTTCGGTGTTCACAGATCAATTGACCAGAGAAGACACAATCATATAAGATGAGTGAGAACAAGCTACGTAGTGCAAAATATACTGCTAAGAGCAAGCGTGGTTAACTCACAAGTGCTCTCGAAGTAAAATTCGGCGGCAGGAAAGTTCGTGGCTCATAAGAAAACATATCGGATTTTATTATGCTTTAGCAACAAATCTCATTCTTTACGTACTCCTTGTAAAGTTCTCTTTAGCAACTGTACGTCGACGAGTGCTTCCGTAATTCTCAGAGAGACTTAGAAACTGGCTTTGACCCTTATTCGAATTCAAGGTAGAATGACGTCTCGAGTTGTAAACTTTTCATTAATCGTTTCAAAAATACATGAAAAGCAAGTGACACAGTCGTCATCAGACTCAATCAAAAAGATTTCATACTCCCATTTTCATACCCATAAACAATTTTTTTTTTGAGTTTTGACTGCTTTATGCTTGATACAGTCATTTCTAAAAGTGGTTAGTGCATGATCAGGGTGCCATTATTAAGTACTGGGTAAAAGCCGTATTGCGTCGCAGTCAGCAGCGAGTGGTGAACGAGCTTATCGTATCTTCACCAGCAACGTGATCAACTCACTCTCCTGGAAACACTAATGAACTATGTCAGTTGAACTTTAATGTGAACACTCAATAGATGGAGGGAGATTATTGTGAAATACGAAACGAAAAATCGTCTCATTATTATGCAATTACGCTCAACGTTCTCATTCCTCTGCATTGAACATCCTATTCCTTCCTTGTAACGTCTCCTATTGTTTCCGTTAATAAACTGATAAGTGCAACTGTAAAATACAATCATGCTGTGTAATTACCAGCTGTTCACGAAACAGGTGATCTCATTAAAGAATGCTCAATCAAACACATTTCAAATATGGCTCGCGAGTTTTTCGAATTTCTCGCAAGACGCCTGAGGACCTTCACGGATCATAAGTGGTACTGCAATCACTGCAAATTCCAATAAAATGTCAGGAACAGCATTCGGAGGCTTCACGGACTACAAATGGGCTGCAGGCTGCAAACTGGAGGGTTTTGGATAAGAGGACATTACTGTACTTAAGAAGTTTGTTCTATTCAGTAACGGTTTTCGTTGGTGATACATCCTCGTAGAGGTAAGCTGATAAATGTGAAGCACTATTCAAAGCAATATTATTTGTGCGAATAAAGTCACAATTAGCTTTGTTAAGATGTAATTTCGTCCATGTTGAACATACCTCATCAAATCAGTTTCTTTCAGTTGCATTACATCATTTGCAACACGCACATAGTAATAACGCGCATCGATTAGGCACATTTAAATGAAAAGATAAAACTGACACGAACACATCTGCCCTTGAATCAAATTACAATTATGAACGATGATACAGATTTAAAAAAAAAGGAACGAGATACTGATGTATTAGTTTGAAACATTGAATTCAATTACTATTTCATGATAGCACTTTATTGCTTCGATCCTTGTTCGTTCTCTCTGAGTGAAGCTGACATGATTAATTAGCACCGATCATGGAAGAACCGTGATCGTTCACTTCAGAGTTACGATTGCACTCAACAGTAACCTTTGGATGTGTGCTTTTTGTGTACTCTTATGTGACTAATTTTCAAATGACGATTAAAGAATGGTTGTTGAATATGAGGAAGGAACTGCAATTTGTTGGTGATCAACTTACATAATGGATTTTATGAATGGAATGAAACAGGTGCATTTGAATATAAGAAAGGTGACACTAAAACGTTTCATCAACATTGAAAGAGGATAGAAGAGCTGGCTTCCGACTGTCTTCATAGAAATCGCCATCCTGTGACGGTTCTTCATCGATACCATCGAGTGCCATCAACTCGATTGACGTGAATAACTTCGGTAAAAGAAACTGACGTACAGCCACGGCCATCAGTACTGCCAAAGGAAATGCGAATGCAGTCGAATTGTGTGATTTTATAAAGCATACAATGATAAAACACAATAGCTGAATGGTTGTGAATGCATGCATTCGCCAAGTGCGTACCTGCAATCCACTTTATTATCTCTCAACTCGTTCAATATCCTCGTTTTGTATGTAATAAATTTTTTCTCCCTCCAATCTCATTGACCTTCTCCACTGAAAAAACCTTTATGACTCTTTATGACAGTATTCGATCATGATTCCGTAATGATGTTCTCTAAGTTCAGAGAGGAAGTTGAATATTCAACAAATCAGTCTTGACGATTGTTTCAGTATTTACTTTCGCTTCTTCCGATCAATGCTAATTTAAGGTTCAAATCTGCAACATCTTTCCTGTGCATCTGTTGAACTCAGAGATTTCTATCTGAGCCGCATTACTGAATGGAATAAGTTCAAGAATTTTTCATCAATTGACGAAAGAAATGGAAAAGGATAACCATCGAAAGTGTTTCACATACTCTGAGACAGTAGGAAACAGACGGATGATACTTGACTGGAACAAAAAAGAGAATTGAACGTGAGAGCATTTGTGATGACGTGAGATTCATAACACCGAGGTAGAGGAAAACACCGAACAAGACTGATTGTGGAATAGACTTTAAAACGCTTGGAAACAACAGCGTTGAACCTGAAAATTCGGTTTTGAATAAGCTGTGGCTCTGAGATTGCGTTTCAACATTATTCTGAGGAAAATACAAAACATTTAGAGATGCGCAGCAAATAAAACAATTCAATTTTCAATGATTTTATTGGGTATCATCTTCGTCTGGTTTCTTGTTGAATGCCTGGTTTGATCACAACCAAAATTGTTTGCATCAATGAAATATCAAACCGATAAGCGCATGAAGTGCAACAGTGGTAAGTCTTTGCTCACGTAAGCCTACAATACTTGGCTTCTGACCAGGTGCACGAAGTCGATAGAGCGTTAAGCTGTGAATATGAGCTGTGGTACGCATTGATGCAGCACACAACCACGGCAAACCGAACAGAGCGTTTGCAACCAGAAGTAAACCTTCAAATTGCAAGTCAAACGATTACTAATTTGATACAATCAGCGATTCAAGAGAAGCAAACAGTGTGAACAAATTTCAGTAACAAAAGTAGAAGATATGAGCAGTGATGAACAGTTTGTTTCAAAAATATCATGGTTGTATTTATATTCACCGTATGACCCTAAACAGACCTTCCAAAGAATGCAGCATTTCAACTTTCGGATTTGGTGGAAAGAAAAGAAAATTCCATGGATTGTGTAACAGATGGCCTGTGTGGGAAAAGGGAGGAAGATAGAGCTGAAGTGGACTATACATTTACTCGTAGACTATAAAATTATTGTTATACGGTAATATCTGAGTCGTCTTTGATTGCTTTTCGAGCAGAAAAAAAGCGGAATCAATTATTGCTAGACGGGAAATACTGCTTGCAGCCGATAAATGTGAGCATGAAGTGAATGAACAGAGAACCTGAAAGTAGAAGGTCGAAGTGATAACCGGTGCCTTTTTTAACTTTCAGTTGGGGATTGAGTAACATCATTTCGCAGACAAGTGTTTCAGTGAAAAGAAGAAAGAACAGAAGGAATCCTGGAAGAATGGCTGCCATTGGTAATGGAGTTCCCTCTGAAGGCCACTCGAATATATTCACAAGCCACGAACGCTCTGCCGATGGCAAAAGCTCGATCTGCAGTGTATATCATCAATTACAACAATGTGATATGAACAACGGCAAATGAATATTCGAAGAATATCTTGACGGACTGAATTGATATTGGAAAAAAGAATTCCGAAGCGTATGAAATGTCAGTTTTAATCGAAATAACTGATAGCTTACGGTAATATTGAGTGTACTTGTAAGAGTTGAAGCGCTAATGAGTACCTTATCAAATACAACCATTAATATAACTGAAATGCTCAATCCAAAATCACCCAGCGCACGCCTAACCTATAAACAAATTCTTTTTGTGATCGCTGACTCTCAACTGGTCAGCATGATGTAATATGAAAAGAACTGATTTTTCAAATGTGAATTCAATCAGATTTATTTTTACAGTACGTCACATCACCAAACTCTACGGAGCAATTAATTGCGTTCGAAAACAGCATTATGGCATTTAAACTTAAATCTTAACGCGGAGCATTTCCTCACGACAATAGTGCAACAACTACTAGCAAATAAAGAAATCGAACAATGAATGACCTGTCTGCCGAAGTACCGTGAATTACGAACTCGACGAAGTGCGAAGGCGATCAAAAATGTTGCAGCAGTAAAAAATACGGCTAAGAGTGCAGTGTTTGGTTGAGCATTTGAATGTCGAGTTGAACTCGTTGAATTGTTATCTAATCGCAACCTGATATTTGAATGCATTTTATGGAAACGCTTGCTTCAATCATTTGATCATAATCGAGCACTGTAATGAACCCAAGAGACTAACATGTCTTGAAGAGATGAATTACAGTACTGCTCAGCAGTCATCAAAGGATTCTCGGAGAAAATTGTCCACAAAAAACGAATACACTCAGAAAAGAAAATAACTGAGATGAGAGCCGATAAAATATCGTCCGAAAAACGAGTGACGTTACGAATCAATAATGACCCTTCAAAGCACACGACCACCTGAATACAAAATCACATCCTGTGGTTGAAACAGAATCATTTCATTCAATCAGTATAACATATTACATTGTTCAATTCCGAACCAATCTCTCAAACTGATTGAATTTTTTGACGCTCAATCAAATTTTAATACGAATGCATTTGCCAGTAATGAAATCAATTCAACTCACTCACCGCTGCAAAAAGAAAAGCCCAAACAGAAACCCAAAATCGCATTGCCAAATATGGGAAGCCATTGACTGATGAGAACTGCAGAAAAATGTGTTATGGAAATTCGCTATGGGTTCAAAGCAATCGAAAATCAAATCCTCGCAATAATAACGAATCAATTTCTAATAAGTGATAATTCCAGCGAAAACTTTCAAGTTATTACGATGTAGCACTATTAAGTTGATGAGACTGATAAAAATTAGGTTGAATATCGCCACAATGATATAAAGCGAGAATAAGCGAAACAAAAGCAACCTCATAAAGTGATTCTTCAAAAATGAGCATCGAGCCAACTACACCCATTACAATAAGAGGTTGAGTTGAAAGAAGTGCAAATGTAATCCCACCAAGTGACGTAGCAAGTAACGTTTCAATCATCCCAATTTCACCGTTCGTTATTTCACCTGATAAGTCACTTATCAGAAAACGGTTTGTTGCTCACTGAATCAAACAATCGTAAAATACATATTCTTTTCATTAATTAAAATAAATGTCAGAACATTGCATTGATAAGATAAGCAGGAATTCTTCCAGGTTCAATGAGGAGGGTAGGGTGAGAACTATTCGTACAGGAAAAATAAAGTTCTGAAACCACAGGTTCCACAACTTGGTATGTTAGAATGATGATAAGAGAATGATTGTAAAATAATCTACCGATAATTGCGCCAAAAGTAAGGGCAGGAAAGAAACAGGTGAGAAAAATGAAGATAACACATCGTACACACTGTAAATTGAACGCATCCGTCAGATCTGATATGTAATAAGGATATCGCTTTTGCACTTCACGTTTAAGACCACCGAACACAACGCCAGTCCTTCTGAACAGCAATGAGTAGATGTAGATCAGTGTGTAGCAAGCAATGACATTTGAAAATGCGGCATATATTTGGAGAAAATCATACGATAATGAATGGCTGATATTTTGCGAAGAGATGACCGATTACGATGAATTTAGAAACTGAGGCAGTGGTGGATTTGTTCATAACTGTAAGAGGTTGATTGAGTTGAAACCTGAGTGGGTCATTTTTCTTTCGTTTCTCCTCATCTAACAGATACTGATCAAGTTCGACGGGTCTTGTTACAAGAGCACGACGTCTTGAACCGAGTGTGTGTCGTACACGATGCGTACGAATAAAATCGTGCTCAACAAATTTATCCAATTCCCAGTCGCCTGGTGGGATCACCGTTGATTCATCCAAAAAGTCGTTTATAGCCTATAAATCGCAATTGCCGGAAATGTTGTTGGAGTCGTTATTTTGTCGTTATAAGAATGCACCGTACAGGAACGACTGTTGAAGCGATGAAGATGATTTGATCATACAGATAGGGTTCGATTTGATGACATCTACATATAATACATTCGCTTATGTCACAAAAAGTCGGATACAAGTAATGATTCATTAACGCGATTAAATATCTGAATTTGAAATATGACTGTTTTATACACATAGATATAAAGGTGTAACTAAAGAAATAATGGAGCGTTCTGGTCACACGAACATTCGTTGATCTGCTTTTATTGAACTCTAAGCATAAGACAATCCGAAACGTTCTTATTTTGATATGAACGGTACATAAATCAGTTTTTCGAACGACAACTGAACATACTTGTATGATATCCGTACGATCAAGCGCACAAGAGCAAGCGTCTCGAAAGGATCGGTTCGCGAGAAGTGCACATAGGGAACGGCCGATTTCGTGAAAATCAAGATTTGGCGTTATAGGCCCCAAAATTACGAACAAATACCTTAAACGGAAAACGTATTAGTCGGTAAATGTCTAACGATAGAGAGATAACCATACACGCTCATTAAGTGCGAAGATACGGCAGATTTCTGAACAGAAGTTTGCAGGTGGCCGCTCACCTAAGAGGCAGAGGAAGTTCCACTTGGTTTTCGATATAAGTATCGGGATGTAAACGCACAAAAGCGATGCACAAATGTCGTAATTTAGCCGATGTGCCGACGCTCACCGAAGCAGCCTCCGCATCTGAAATGCAACTATTTTGGACGAATCCAATAAGATGGAAGGAGTCAAGTGATCCAGAAACGTCAGCGGCTCAAATAACCATGTAAGAATATTCAGGACACCAATTTCTAGCCATTCATGGGACTGTTTCAGCTCGAAATGCCATCATAGGAAAAGTTGAAGATTTACGTACATGTCAGACAAAACGCATATAAATTCTTGCTGCAGCCAATCATATGAAAGGATTCCGCATCAGTCAAGTGATTATTAAGGAATATTGTTGTTATTTGATGGACTCGCGAATAAGCTAAACCTGTAGACAATCGTTTGAGCAATTCAGTGTTCCAGGGAGCTCTGTCCCAAGGAAAAACAGAACGTCTTCTGGTATGCGCTGCTCGCTTAGGCGATATGTTCTGACCGTTTGTCATTTGCGTAGTCACATTACTATCACATTCCTGAACGAATATTTTTATTGGCATCCTGACCAAATGCAATATCGGCTGATAATTCTTTATACGCTATTACAAATATTTTATTCTTCGTTTTGTGTTGCCTAAATTCTTATAATAGCGAGTATTTACAGAAAGATACTTTGAGAAACGCTGGTGAATTTCTATTCCTTCAATCAGAATGACTGCACTTAAAGCTTTATTGACTACGGTGTGAGCGCAAGTTGAACCCGAAACTAACTTTATTGCCTCGAAAGCCAAAATAACGTCCGAACGTCCGTAATGTTCCTTCAGGTGGTTGAAATGATGGTTGAAATGTATGTCGACGTGGTAATTTCAGCAGATGAAGCAAATGGTCACGATCCGTTCTAAAAAAAGTTTTTTAATGCTCGAATTCTGTTAAAATTGCATGTTTGCTCCTTGCATTCTTGCAGTATTCTTCTTTGTATCCTTGAGCGAACGATAAACAGATTAAGAACCACAAAAACTGCCTCAAAAAATTGGAAACATCTTAATTTTCCACAAACGATAGTATAGACTGCTGGAAAAAATTTCAGCAGATATGTGTATCAAACGAATTCGCCAAATGAAAAGGCCAGTAGCCGCTTTCATTCTTACGAGTATACATTTTATAACCCACCTGTGAACGGTATTAGTTCGTACCATTTCTTCAACAATTCCTTCGAAAACATTTTCATAAGAATCTAGATTCAAATCCAGCATAACGGCACCTGCAAGCATATTGTTGTTCCTTGTGGTTTTGTCAACTTGTAGATTTTCGATGCAAAATTACAAGAAAAAATCGTTCATATAAAAATTATATGACGATTTGATTGAGATATAGTCTTTTGAAAGAGATACTCTGTCGAAATAAGCTCTCTCAAGAGATGTACATATTTCAAATTGTCCACGTTTGATATTGTGTAGTCCAGGGTTTCTCAAATAGGAGTGCTTGCTCCCCCGAGCGGTGCGAGATGGTAAGCCAGGGGATTCGAGATAAAGTTTTATTGTTTATACATTGAAGCAGGTGAGGGCGGAGTTCAACGCATATATGTGTGTAAATGGACTTTAACGCATATAATTTTGAAAAGACTACAACGTGCTCTAATGGTTTACATTTATCTCCACTCATTGTAGTTGATGAAAGATACGAAGTGGACGTTTTGAGAGGTGCGAGGACATTTTACCTATTGTTGTAGGGAGTGTGGACCGAAAAGAAGATTGAGAACCACTGTTATAGTCCAATGTCTTCACTTTGTTCCAAAAAAATCATTTTGTTCATTTTATGCAGCCATGAAATCATCACTTTCTCTATCAATCCCTTTCGAATAATGTTTCAGTTTGTCATTTGTTCTTAAGCGCAAGTTGTGGTCGCAACATTTTTCACAATACTGGAAATTTTATCCATTCAAGTCATTTTTGCTTCGTTTCGTTAATATGTGAGATACTGTCAAAATAGTTAAAAACAAGCAGATAAGAAGTATGCCAAAGCGTTAAACGCTGATAATGTAACTTTGAAGAAATTTTAATCAGAAAAAAGAGAGACTTCTAACACTGATGATAACATCAATAATGGTGATAGCAATAACACGAATATGAACCTATTTCGAAGCAGTGTCTCAGCTGCAATAAAGCATGAAACGACAACGATGATAATTTCGGTTTTCCGAAGCGTTGAGCGCCCTTCTCGACTGCTTCTTCGTATCGAATCCAACGGCCCAATTGATGCCACTCTTCGTTTTCATCTCGACTTTCACATTTCATGAGTAACTCATCCAATTGAACCAACATTTGATGCTCCTTAATGAAATGATGCGATAGATTGAAATTATTCGTTGATTGACCGAGCTGTACAATGGTAAATTTACGAGAGTTTGAAGAAATCGTTTACACTGTTCCCTTGTAGGGAAACTGAGATGAAAACTTCAGTGTTGAATATTAGAAAAAAGTGCATTCGAAGAATCAGATTCAGAGTTTATAATTGATTAGAAGTATTGTTTTGAGAGAAATTTCGATGACTCTTGATGAACGTAGCGAAGATCTTCTTCACAGCAACGGATTTACTCCAACAAAAATTTGACCTGCACTTGTTGAACATGAGAAAATAGCAGTGTTCGTGAAATTATGACGATTCAAAAGACCTTCCTAACTTATCGCTTTTGTCTCCACTGTTTACTACTCGAAATATAAACTGTCTTCGTCAACTGCTTCTACTCATATTCCGATTTGAAGGATAAAAGTTGTCAGTTGGCTGAGCATACATAAATAGTTCGTTCTAATGGAACACAAAAGCCATTTTGTGACACCTACTTTGTGTTCATCCTCTTCCACCTGAATCGCCATTTTCCGGCTGAATTCGTACTCGCTTAAAGAAGCCTGGAGAGCGTCATGATGCATCTGTTGCCAAAATCCATCTGAAACTCATCAATAAAGTTCAATCGTTTCACCACTACTCGACGAAACCAAAGCGAGGATGAGAAGAACGACGATTCAAAAATTTTTGGAACAATCCGTAATAGAAATGTGGAAATAGATTAATATGCATATTCACATAGTACGTAAAA